TTTGAAGAGGTCAGTGACAAGTTGCAGTGTAACATAAAAACTGGACCAACCGGTTCTATATATCCATTGTCTACAAATCACAGCCATTTTGTTCCACACGTCCGCATATGTGATAAACAGTGATTGGCAAGAAATATGTTTCTTACAGTTTATGGTTGAGTACTAGTAGTAATAAATATACACTTACTTCAAAAACAATGTCTCAAATATCAGACAGCGTTATGCTTTTGCAGTATTTTTTCCAACAAATTCATTAATAAAAGTTAAGATTTCATCAAGGAGGTTAAATATCATTCATTTCATGTATCCTTTCAGTCTAGCAGACTTGCGTGGGATGAAAACGTAATATTATTTGTTATCCATGTAAGTCAGTAATACCACATGTGTACACAACTGTATATTTTGTGGGATTTTGTGGGACCAGCTGGCTCCCAAAGCCCGTTAGAGCCTAATCTTCCTGGCTGCTTCCTTTTGAATTAATTTCAAACTACCACTTCCCCATTACCACCATAGTTTTTCTTGTTTCTCTAATTTTTCCTATACCCCAGTATTGATATTCTGTTTTTAGTTGAACGTTCTCAAATTCTTGATTGACGGTTTCTCTTTAAAGTTCACAATCAAGTTCACAACAAACTTTCCCCATTTCCGGCCATATCTGCGTCAGTGTATTTGACCATTTGTTTGTATGGCCAAAAATAGTCTCGTCTGTCCTATAGGTCACATTGCGCCTGAGCCCGTCGGTAATGTAGCCCCCACCCGGTCCCCGCTGTTCCGTGACCTAAATTTCTCAGACGGAGAAGTACCTCTCGGTTTTCTTATCGTTAGTTCAGTTTTTTTTGTCAGCAGGGCCCAGCCTAAAATTGAAGTCAGAACTTTTAAATCTTTTCAGGTTCCAGACTGGCAGAAGATAGTCCGGTAGCCGCAGGGTGTCCCGCGGGGTAACGCAGAGGTCATGCTGAATAAAAGTGCGAAAAAAACCCAGCTCGGGAACTACCCAGCAACGCCCCTTTTTCTCCAACTGGCATCTAAGCATATTCTGCCTTAAGAGCCACACTGGCTCAGAAGAGTACTAAGTAATAAAGTATCTATATATAGTATGCATATAATAAAGGGTGGAGTGAGAAACATAGGGATTCTGTAATAGAAAGGCCCGATTGTGTATGTAGGAATGATCATTGTTCCCCCTTTAAACCTGAGTCAGAGACAAAGACTGGTATTAATCACCAATTAGGAGCAATTACGAACAGACAAGGGACGCTAAAACATATTTTACGGGCCCGATTAGGAGGAAGAATTATTATTTCAAACTGTGATTTCAAACGCAACGTATTTTAGACCGGCTACTTGTGTTCGACATTGCAATACAGAGGTACTTATAGCCAAGAGGCTTATAGGCTCCTTGTTTCAACGCACTGCTTAGCTCGTCCTATAATTTTTTTTCTATAATTTATAATAGCATCATGAAAACAAGTCAAGTAAAGATATCAGTGGAAACAAGAACAGAGCACAACCTGGTCAGAACGTGCCTGGATACTTTTCTGGTCGGGGTATATTTTGGAGGGCTCAACATACATGCAAGGGGCCGGTAAAGCTAGACCATGAGTTGTCCAAGTGTTGCGACTTACCGCATGAATTTCGGGATAGGCCGATCACGGTGGGATTCGCGTCTAAAGGTCTTCTTCCTTTGCTGCGTGGTTAAACCCGAAGAACCCTTTTGAAATTCCCGGACAAATATCCAAGAACAGATCTCTTTTAAGATGGATGAAATGTCTGGATACCCTGGAAAGTTGCCACATCTAAAATTTGTCTGAGAGTGAGTCATCTAAAGGCAACGTGCGGCTATGTGATTGGACGGGAAATCTCTACCCTTAAGCAAATGTAGTACCATAATCTAGATCTCGGACCGCCAATTACGGACAGACAAGGAGGGAGGGGGGCGGAGACTATCAGACTGAGATTATAGCTGAAGCCATAGGAGCGGCGGCTGACAGGGTTAGATGGAGAAGGCATACGTAGTCGAGCTTAATGGACAGGTGAGGTGAGGTGAGGTGAGGTGAGGTGAGGGGGCGCTCTGTCGTATCGTCACTCGAAAAGTCTTAGGGGCGGCACATAATAAGTGCAGTCAGGAACAAAGGTAAAAAAATCTCGGCAACCAGGTGTCTGTTTTGATTCTAATCATGTTAATCCATGTTACATTTCCTACGCACGTGTATTATGCTGAGGTCACCATGCCCACACGGGGCCCGGCCGGGCAACTTTTAGGAACCAAAAGTACGATACAAATGACAACAAAACACAGATAACAATAACAACCATGTACATTAGTTCTGTATATCCAAACAAACAGCCCTGTCGGGTGCCGTTTTGGAAATGTGACCTAAGCACTACAAATCACCACAGGTTTCTACATATGAGGAGTTTTTCTCCGTTGTTTATCTTGTTGAGTTTACCACATCACTAGAGTGTACTAATCATAACAGTGTTTGAGGAGGCCAGTGACCAGTTGCCCTGTAACATCAAAACTGGATGAACCGGTTCTATATATCAATTGTCTACAAATTGCCGCCATTTTGTTTTACCCCTCCGCATACATGTGTATGTGTGAATAACAGTGATTGGCAGAAAATATGTTTCATACAGTTTCTGGTTGAGTACTAGTAGTAGTTAATATACACTTACTTCAAAAACAATGATCTTAAATTTTAAAAAAAAAAACGTTATGCTTTTGCAGTCATTTTTTCTAACAAATTCATTAATCATTCAATAACTTTAGCTGGGAATCGTTTCGTCAAGAAAAAAGCAATTTGGGGGTAGTTAAAAAAAGAACACTTTTTAGAGTAATTAACTGGGAAGGGTAAAAAAAAATTCCAGTATGTCTGCTTATCACTGGTCGATCGGTACTGGTCTTATTAAACAGTAGGGTTGATTATTGTCGTTTTATCTTTTCAAACGATACTTTATGGTGTACATTCCAAAAATATTCACAGAGGACAGTGTGGTGTTTTAAAGATGGTTAAAGTGATTTTAATAACATCAATTGTTACAACATATTAACTTTAGTCATTCACATCAGTCTGTAATAGTGGCATACGTTTGGTTCCGAGATTTGACCGAGATTAAGAAATCTTAGTCAATGTTTAACAGGCATTATATATACATTATATAAGCTAGTATGTTACACCGAAGAAGACCATACCGGTTTAGAAAACAGATACACGATTGGTCTTGCTTCAGTTGTATTAGTGTCGTGTTGTATTTCAACATATTAACTGTAGTCATTGGCCTCTGTCTGCGATAGTGACATACGTTTGGTTCCGAGATTTGACCGAGATTAAGAAATCTTAGTCAATGTTTAACATTGTTAGGCATTATATATACATTATATAAGCTAATATGTTACACCGAAGAAGACCATACCGGTTTAGAAAACAGATACACGATTGGTCTTGCTTCATTTGTATTAGTGTCGTGTTGTATTTCAACATATTTATTTTATTTATTTATTTATCTTAACAACGTATGGGTAGTCTCTTCAGCCCCGCAGGGCTGATTTCCAAGAGAGCCCATAATAAATAAACAAGAATATAATGCAAACAAGGATACAGAAAAGATAATATAACATAAATTAAATAAACATAAATTAAGCACAACAGTCGGTCGATGGTCTTTGGAGGGCCAGAGGTCAAATTCCGAGTAACTTAGGAAATGATACAAAAATAGTAGTAATAATTGAAAATAAGAATGATGAATCATATAAACAAATCAAACAATAAACATAGTTAAATCAAGGTTGTCGAGATCGTCATTGGGTAGTCAGGTGTCAGATGGGTTCAGATCTTAGTCTGTCTTGAAAGGCTTTAAGTGTGAGTGCTTGTTTTACGTTACATTTTAGTGAGTTGTATGTTACTGCTGCCCTGTACGCAAAGGTACGTTGTCCTGCTTTTGAAGTGTAGTTGGGTCTGTGCAGGAGATGTGATTGTCTAGTGTGGTAGTTGTGGATTTGATTATTATAATTGAACGTGTTCAGTAGATAGCTCGGGGCTAATCCATGGAGACATTTGTACACCATAACACAAGCGTGGCGTGTTCTTCGTTCCTGCAGTTGACTCCATCCAAGTGCTTGGTGCAGTTCCCCCACATTCGATCTCGATTCACGTCTGAGAATGATTCGTGCAGCCCGGTTCTGTAGAATCTGTAGTCGTTGCTTGTTGGTTGTGCTACAGTTGTCCCAGACCATATCACAGTATTCAAGTAGCGGTAAAGCAAAGGTTTTGTACAACATATTGGCAATATTTGTGCAGAGATAAGGCCGCAGCCGTCTTAACAAACCAAGGCGCTGTGCCATCTTATTACATACAACATCCAAGTGGTTATTAAAACTTAGATTTGAGTCCAGTATGACACCCAGATACTTATAGGAAGTTACCCTTTCTAAAGCATTGTCATAAATCTTAATAATTAAGTCGGGAGAAGATTTGGTCTTTACAATGGATCCCATCAGAATCCACTTTGTCTTTCAAATATTGAGCGTTAGTCGATTCGATTTAAACCACGATGCTAACTGTTTGAGTTCTAAATTCAGTGTACTTTCTATGCATCTGGGGTCATTGCTCGCACAGAATATGGCTGTGTCATCAGCATACAAAGTTATCTTACTGCTGGTGACAGCTTCGGGGAGATCATTAATAAAGAGGTTGAACAGTAGAGGTCCTAAGATCGAACCTTGGGGTACTCCAATTGTAATAGGTAAGGGGTCAGAGGTACAACCATTTAGCGAGACTCTCTGTTGGCGACCTGTGAGATAATTTGAAAACCAATCAAGCTCAGTACCCTGAAGGCCAATCCAGTTTAGTTTTGTTAGCAGAATACCGAGGTCCACGGTATCAAAAGCTTTTTTCAAATCAAGGAAGACAGTACCAATTAGCTTACCACCGTTGATATTATGTAGTAGATAATCCGTAACGTTTAGTAATTAACTGTAGTCATTGGCCTCTGTCTGTGATAGTGGCATACGTTTGGTTCCGAGATTAAGAAATCTTAGTCAATGTTTAACAGGCATTATGCATTACATAAGCTAGGTTCAAGGTCCAAGGTTCAAGTTTAGCTAATATGTTACACCGAAGGAAGATCATACCAGTTCATGAAACATATACACGATTGTGTCTATCATTGGTCTTACTCCAGTTGTATTAGTGTCGGCCGTTAGTAGCACTTCCAGAAGAGACAAGAATGAAGCAGAGTCTGGTCGGTAAGGTGGCTATAGTAACAGGAGCATCACGGGGTATCGGTAAGGGCATTGCGCTGCAACTGGCAGAGGCCGGAGCTACAGTCTACATCACAGGTGACCTAGATTTTACATAACACACAAACTTAGTTGTCCATTCTGCAATTTGAGGTTTCATTACTACAGATTTAACAGAAAAGTGACAAAGTTAACGATACCAATTAGAGCATATTTAATTTTATTGTACAGGAATTCCATAGGGTACAAAATGTTGCATCTAGGGGGTACAGCTTATATATATATATATGTCTAGACGCTAGTTACCCACTCATGGAGTATTTTCCCTTCGAGGGCACAGAATATATGTTACAAAAGCCCCAGATCAGGCATCGGGGACCACTCTATAGCAGATCAACTCCGTTGGCATTTTATAGCTCTATTGGGTCACTCTTTACTCTCTCTGTCGCCTCCCAACGCCTGGTAGAGGCTACCCCAACAGCCGCCGTGGCTAAGATAGTTCAAGATATAACAATTAGCTGTTTGAAATGCGATGTCTAATTTAAGAATTATCGCCTTGGCTAAGAAGGTTCTATTTCCGGGTGCGTGTGCGTGTTTGTATGTCCGTGTGTCTGTGAACAGCATAACTTTGCTGTGGATTGAGTTGGACCATATGTGCGCCCAGAATCTATAACATTAAATAATCCAAGCTGTTTTAGCCATAATAAGTTATAAACTATAATTATATTAATTCTTAGTTTTGACGGGTAGAGGTAAAAATGTGCAATAACAAAATACATTTGCATACACGTAGGATCCCTTTTGTTACAGTTCCAGGGCACTTTGTTTCAACAACGGGGAGCTAGAGATTAACGGTTTTAATTTTTTACATGCTATTGAAGCTTTGATCTTCGAACAATCGAATGAAAAACCACACTCGGTGTCGATTAAAGACTTATAAATTAAGAAGACTAAAATTTTAACTACCAAAAAAACTTGTTCCAGGTCGCACGCTGCTGCCTGATGGTCGGGGGACTTCACTCACAGAATGTGTGGATAAGGTACAGTATCTATGAATAAAAAGTATGAAAAGATATATTTATTATTTATTGTAAGGTCTTCTAGAAAACGATCCTGTTGCCAGTGCCTCACAGATTTATATGAGGCTGTTATTGGGTGTCAAAGACATCGCTTATTGTTGACACATCCTTAAGTCATAATAGTGGGTCTGTGGAACCCCCGGGGATCACAGCGGGTAATTAGCTGCCGGGTCTAGTAGTAATGGTTTATTGTTGTTTCGCAAACTTTACAGAATGGCAGAACCATGGCACCAGACCATGGCTCTGAATTGATCTGTAATTAACAGAATCGTTCCATAAATAGACAGCATACAACGCCTAAAACAAGATCACATATCAATCGAGTAATTAAAATAATTACTTTAAGTTAAAATAAGTTAAAATACCATATAGTTTAAAACATTAGTACACTCGGCTAGGACAACATAGATTGAACATTGGATATTAATAAAAGAATATTCATCATGAAAACATCTCGGGGAATAGTCACCAAGTTATGAGTTCAGTATGCGGGTCATGTATGGCACGGCGCTTGTGTAGTATCTAGCTGTTCTGCAGGGTGGTGTGTCCAATTTGTGTGACGTGCGAGTTACCCTGCTGCTTATGTTCCCTCGTGACGGTGGTAGTAGGTGGCGATACTGGGTTGATTGTACAAGCGACTTAGCGAAATCTTTGGTGAGTTTTTCGCGTCGAGACCACAGAGACGGTAATCCGAGCTGGCCACATGCTCTCTTGTATGATGTATAGTGGGTACCAAGAATGATGCGCAGCGCTCGCTTCTGTACTTTCTCGATTCTTTTACTTAGAACTACCGGAAGTCCAGAATGCCAGACGGCAGCTGCATATTCAGTTACAGGTCTGATATAGGATATGTATACTGTCACAAGATCGTCAGTCGAAAGCTGGAAGTGTTTCAGTCTACGCAGGAAGAAAAGTCGTTGACTTGCTTTGTGACAGAGTGTGTTCACGTGGGTATCCCATTTGAGGTCAGCTTGGAGGTAGACACCCAGAATCCTCATGGAATCGACTACTTGCAAAGTGACGTTGTTTATGATAAGTGGTTGGGGGACTGTCAACAGTCCCCCAACAGTCCCTGTCACCGCGTGGCTTCAGTCTGTCGCCACGCGCTCATGGAGAGAAGCGTGCAGATAATTTTTAAACTGTTAACGTTAAAAAAGACTTTAAGGAGCCTGCAACAAACTGTTCCTGTTCTACAACATATGTCTACTTCTGACAGAATTCTAATGCTTCGGTCAACCGACGTAGAAACTGATCTACACGTAAGTACAAAGAATTCAGGCGATACAATTGACGAATAAAACATGGTTCAGAACTCCGCCTGGATAAATTTTTGTTTTGTTTTAACGTATATGTATCAACTTTTACTAAACAAAATACATGCTCGTTAGTGAATCCTTCATGCTGAAAGCTATAAATACTTGCTACGGTGTTGTTGTATCATCTTTGTATCATCTGTGTTAATAACATTACCTGGAAGTTCCATATTTTGTTGTCGTCTGATTCAGGCCTGTATAGATTACATCGAG